CAACTAATTTCTAGCTAGCTTCTCCGCAGAGCAAAGATTTTCTCATAATACAGTCTAAGAATGGAAGTGAAAGAAGAAAGAGAAAGAAATAGCTGCAGTGGCCAACTCATTGGACCCATTGGTCTGCTCAAGTGTGTGTTTTTTCCCGGGAGTTCAGGGTTTGCCTTCCTTACAGTTTAGGAGGATCTCTCCCCCAACTATAGTAGTGGGCATAACCCATAAGCTGCACTTAATTTGGGCTGCAAGTAAGATAAGAATTAAGGGCCGAGGTTGTTGGCCTAAATGAGCCATAGTCTTAACTCTTAAAAGCGGTATGTATAGGTGATTATATAGGGTAGTGTAGGGATATATAGGGTTTAGGGTCTAAATTTCTCAATAGGGGAGTATTATGGTGGTTATTCAGGGGGGTATTAGGTGTTTGGAATCCCTAAACCCCAAACCCTAAACCCAAATGATGTTGAGCAAGCTCATGATTGTGGCTTTGCAGTGCAACAGCTAGCCCCAAGCGTACCGTATTCCTTAGGAGAACCCCCACCCTGCAATAGTGGTATAGTAGGACTATAAGAGGACCTTAATATAATCCCTCTTCTCCATTATAGGCACTGTTACTGGATGGGGGGTCTACCTAACGTATTCCAGTCTTCGGACGTGAGCAGGATGAGTGAGGATTTGATTTTGGTATACGCCGGCTACGCATAATCGCCTGGCATTGGCATTGCGCAATGCCACCATACCTGGAGAGCCCACTAACTGCACTAGAACCCTTAATATGATTTACAGCATGTCCCTAAGGTCATTGGCCGTCTTGGGTATCTATAGCCCTAAACCCCAGAACTCGAAACTAGGCGAAATTTCTTTGGATTTGTATCGATATGAGTGTACCTTTTTGACGCACCCTATGGTAAGGATTGCAGTGTGTTGGGTATAAACTTAGGTTCCCCCAATGTTGGGAAATCATCATGTAATGTTCTTGCTGGTGACCTGTTTACTGACAGTGTTGCTATCACGTGCCTATTGACCTATTGTAGCCCCTCCACACTCCACAATAGGCATAGGGTTTAGAGTTTAGGGTTTACGGTTGAGGGTTTAAGGTTTAGTGTTTGGGGTTAAGGGTTTAGGGTTTAGGATTTAGAGTTTATGGCTTAGAGTGCCCATTCCCCTGTTGCCTGCTAAGCACAAGGAGGGCTAAGGACTCGGGGTGAATTACCGTTACTTAGGGTTTGGAGGGGCGGCTTTTTGCCTTTAACTTTTTAAATTTTGGAACTAAGAAATTTGAGAACGCAAAGTAATGGTAAGTTTATATGGGCTTGAGGGTCAAGGGTTTGGGGTTTTGGCATTTATGCATGTGCAGCAAGCTACCACGGGTACTCCGAGTTGAGTCAACATGATGCGTGCCCATTTGTAGGAACCAATTTGATATAGAGGAGTTTCCCTATTTTAGGGGTTCCATATTGGGGGTACCCATAATAAGGATTTAGCATCTTGGAGTCCTTGTTAGGGTACCCTAATTTGGGGAAAACTACAGTAGTTCCTACCCCCATCATGAGAAGTATACTTAGTGACTTCGATCTCCTTCTTCAGTCCCTACCCTAA